TGACATGAGGGAAAAGAGTGACATACTCCATTAAGGAAAGCATTTCAGGATAATGCCTGGAATATGCCAAAACTAGAAGAGTATAAGTGAAGAAAACAGAGCCACCAGGAGAGCTAGCTGGTCAGAAGCCAGCTAGTGTGAGAGGTTAAGGGGGGGGATGTGAGAAGGCATGAGAGTTTTCCCCTGTGCTAGCTCCAGAAGCTCTCACACATGACCTGGCTGAGCTCAACCTTTAAGATAAGGTTTCCATCTGCTGCTGTAAGTAGAGTGGCTTCTGAAAAAGGATCAGTGCACCTTTTGAATTGTGTGGTATTAAGGTATGAAGCCTGCTGTGGCTTGGCTGCAGCTGTGGTTAGTTCTGCACAATGACCACTCAGATTTGAAAAGTGCAAAGGTACCTCTGTTCTGGGGGGGCCACAACACCAACACTAATATATTTATTGAGCCAGTAATGGGTGCTGCCCAAGGACACCTGACAAATCCTGCTTAAAAATTAACACTTTAGACACAGGTGATTCCAAAGGATTCCAGAAAATCTAAGCCACCTCATTTCAAACACCCACTTGTTTTCTTTCAGCTTTTAGAGCCAAACAACTTTTCTGCTTGTCTGAAAATTTATAAAAATTACTGTTGATCAGAAGAGATTGGCAAAAGCCTAGGTGACCTTTTCTTACTGTATTCCAGCAAACCACCACACTAATTTTTCTCCAGCTGTGAAGCATTGTAATATTAAGCAATGCATTCTCACACATTGTGACGGTTGAATTTTTTGCCTTTTCTTTGAAACCTGTTATTTTCTTCACTAACAGCTCAAGAGATGCAATTTCTTTAAAAGCAACTATTTCCATTAATGCAGTATCACTTGGTCAGCCAGAGACCCTGCAAATGTAGCCTTAACAAGCACCCTTTATATGAACAATCTGTAGTCTCTTACTAACAGATGATAACAACAAATTTACCCAGTGATTATTGCTCTAATGTGCATTTACAAAAGATATGTGAAAGAGAACTCCAATTTGACTAATTACATAAACATATTTTCCTCATGTAGACCTCCAAATATGATTGTTGTTGCCATTACAGCCTGCACTGATCAAAAGAGATGTTTGAAGAAGCATCTCAGTGGTCAGCGTTGGGTTTTCAGGCTGTTTTTATCAAAATAATCATTGAACTAGTGGTGCTTTCTAACCTAGTTACAACTTTTTGGAAAAATAATAACTACTTGATACAAGAAGTGGAAATTGAATGGGATATGCTCAGACATTTCTGACGTAAAATTGAAGAACTGCAATAAATGTGTTTTTAAATTTGTCTCCTCAGAGAAAATATCTCTATTTTAAAACAGCTGCTCTCAAAATGATTTATAACCTTCATCTTCAATGATACCAAGATCTTTAAAATATTTGAGACTTGATGAATCATGGCCATTCCATGGGGTGATGCAGCAGGATACTGCTTGAAGATGCACCCAGACCTTCCATGGTTTGGATTACTTGGAGACACACTGCCACAGTGGAACAAGAGTTTGAGAAGGACAAAGATTTTTTGCTTGAGCAGAGAGAAAAGGCTAGGATTGTGAAGGTATGCTTTGAAATGAACAAAGGCTCATTTCAACTTTCAACTGCTTCTAACTCCTTGCAAAAGCATGGCAATCCATCTTGGCATCTCCCATCCCTTGGAACTGTACCTTGTATTCCAGTAATGGCCAGGATGCTTTACAAAAGCTGTTCACATTAGAGATTACCAAGGAGTTCTTCATCACAAATTATGCTGACCAAACTGGTCAACAAAAACTACTATTTCAGAGAAAAATGCCAATTTTGAAAAAAATCATTGTCCTGGTTTCTCACATAATGTTTCTTGGCTACTAGAGCAGCAGTTATTTGATGATTTTCCAAGATCTCATCCAAGACACAAGAGAACTGCAGAACAGGAACTCTACCCTGTGTCTCCCTCATGAGTACTTTAGTCCAACAAGCCATCCTTTACCTGGAGAGCATAAGGGATGTTGGTTTCTCCTTTGCCAACATGAGAAGTATCACCATTGCAAGTGAATGGAAAAGTATCAATGGAATGAAAAATATTATTTTTATCCAGACATAACATATTTAAATAGTCAATCAGTTTAATTACAGATATGCCTCAAATATAACCAGTTTCTTGTGTGAGGTTAAAGCAAAGACCTTGGAATACCTAACGTATGCCTCAGGTTTCAAGAAAGTTTCCGACTGAGGAAATTTATATCTCTGACTCCTAGTTATTTGACACCTTGAGAATGAGACCTGGGTCTGTGACTGGTGTGAACCAAAGGAGACTTGGAAACGAAAGAACGAGACCCTGATACACTGAAGGACAGAAATCCCTCTTTTTATGACCTCTGTAATTTAGGCTTCATTTTAATAAGCTCTTCTTAAGCCTTTAAATGTTGGTTGAACTTCAGTCTAACCCATGAATGAAGCTGAAATTGACCCCTGAAAGTATTGACTCCACTAATTAGGAATCCTCACATTATTACTGCACTAATAGTGTCCTCCATTATGACAGGTATGAAATAATTTGCCTCCACTCAGCATTATACCATTTTGGGAAAGAAGGCTGGGTAACCAAAATGGGAATTTCAACAGGGCTTGAGTTGAGGTTTACCATAATAGAGAGAATTAGAAGACAGTATATGTTCCATTAGAGAAAACACCTCTCTTCATACATCTAGCATATCAACATACACCTCAGCAAAACTGCGGATCCACATCAAGACCCAAACCATGTGTTTGTTTAGAAAGACAGGCAGTTTGCCTTTTTCTTTTTTTTTTAATTCACCCTTTTACTGGCAAAAATAGTGTAAAGTGTTTCTTTACAGAGAGACTGTATTGCAGAGAGACTGCAATAGTCTCACTGCTGAAAACCCCAGCACAGCAGATTAAAAGGAAAGCTGTGCAGAGGCAGCAATGTGTTGTACCACCCAGGGAGAGCTTGGGTACACATCAAATGAGCCCGACCTTCAGTGTGTGGGTGTGCTGAGATTTTAAAGAGGTTCCCAGTTGAGGAGAAAGAGTCTTCCTTTAAGCTAAGCGCCACATTCCACATGCTTTAAGCAAGATGAATTTCTGGATTTCAGGGAGCCTGCCTAAGATGCAGTTAAGGTATTCCAACAGATAAAATCCTCTCTGCATGCTGCACTAAAACACAGCTAGCTGAGAAACTGTCCTCTGCTCTGTACGTTGTTCTTGGTATCAGTGGAACACAGGACAGCAAGGAGACTGCAAGGTGGAAAAAATAAGTAATGCAGGACACCAAGCACTGCTTGTTCACAGGATAGCTGGAACAACAGTGCTGAAAGCAATTTATTACATAGAATCATAGAATATCAACTGATTTTTGGAAAAGCATCGTCTAGGCAAAACAGACCAGCACCCTTTGCAGCTGAATCTTAAAAGTGACCCATACTGGGGAATGCACCATTTTTCCTGTGAAAGATAATTCCAAGGACTGCTTGTTTCCATTGAGAAAAATTTCCCTCTTTTGTCCAATTGGGAACTTCCTGAGAAAAGTTTGTATCCCTTGTGTTTTTCACGTGACTTCTTGCAAATGGGAATATCCATCTTTGTAGCCTCACTTGCAATACTGGAACATGGTGATGAGGTCTCCCTAAGCCTCTTTTCCTAAGGCTGAACAAATCCATTTCTCTCAGCTTTTCTTCATGCATCAGCTTGTCCAGGCCTTTGATCACCTTTGTGGCCCTTCTCTGGACCCTCCCCAGCCTGTCCACACCTTTTTGCACTGTGGGGACCAAAGCTGAACACAACATTCCAGGTGCAGCCTGACAAGCAATGATTAGAGAAGGACAATGACTTCTCCATCTCTGCTGGTGATGCCCTTGTTGATGCAGCTCAGCATCCTGCTGGCTTTCTTTGCTGCAGCAGCAGCAGCAGCAGCAGCACACTGCTCACTCACACTGAGCTGTTTGTCCATCAGGACTGACCCCAAGTCCCTTTCCACAGAGCTGCTCCCCAGGTCTCATTCATTTATTAGCCTCACATGTAAATCATGATGCTCTGAGAAGTTTGACTTTTTAGCATACAGCCAGAGCCATGCCCACTTTCCTCCATGGCCTCCAGAGAGCCCCCACATCCACCCACTGTGCAGCAGTTTGGACACAGTCTGTCTGCCTGCATAAATGAATGCACAGGCAGGGAAGGAAGGTGCACATGGATACTCACAGACCTGGTTGCTGCCCCATGACAACGTCTCTCTGCCAACTGAGACACCACACTACAGCAAGGCTGGGAAAATCACCCAATGTATCCTCCCAGACCAAAGGGAAAATCAGCCCTGTGCTGCTGGGGAGAAATTTGGCAAAGCATGGACCTCAGCCTACTCATTTATACACTCCTAGCTGCAATGGCTTTATAGCATTATGTTGCAGTAAGAGACTAGGAACATTATTGGCCTTAGATCTGAGAGCCAGGAAGATGCCTAATGGAAATCTTCCCTTATCTCAGGACTGTGTGAAAGATAAGAGATGTAAGTGCTTTCAAACCTTCACTGGCACACAGGTAGGGATGTAACAAACCTATACATCTGTCAAAAATATGCATTTTTTTCTTTGTAAAACCAAACCAAATACTTTCTGAGGGCAAAATAAAGGTTAACTATTTCAGGAAGTTTTGCCAAATGAGACTAATGTTTCAGGGTAGCAGAGAGTGTACTTGTGTGACTTTAAAATAAAGTTGTTGATCTAAGGTAACAGTCTCAGGGTCATTTCCTATAAGTATATATATGATCCCCTAAGCAATATTTTCCAGTTCTCATTCGTGATTAAACCAATGCATCTGATCCAAAATAGCAGAGAGAAAATATTTGTGGCCAAAACTTATCTGGCACCTTAACATCCCACCTGACAGACTCTACAAGTCTGTTCAATGTCAGACTTTTTGCACTAATATGTCTTTGATCTCATTTTATCACACAGAATGTGATCTGCCAGCAGCTCTTCTCTTACCTATGCCAGTACATGCAAAACTTCTGGGCTCTTCTTTTCCTCAAAGGCTATAGAGAGCAGCTGGTTTATTGGTAGGAAGATGTAGTTTGTCACAGGCAATGTCCAGATGTGAATCACACTAATGCTGAGCAACTTTATCATTCAGGCCTCCTCCCAGTCCCCATGGGAATTGCATGTTGATGGGGTCTTGAAAATACAGAAGAGGGGAAAAATCCCACTCCCCACTCCTCTAGCAACTCCGCTAACTCCTCCATTTCTCTGAGGGATTTTCCCCTCCAATCCAGCACTCTGGTGCCTTTATCTCCATGTGCATGGAAGTCCTTCTCCACCCACCTCAGAGATGAGTGCTGTGCTAGCAAAAGGCTGTGTAGTGTTTTCTGAAACCACAAGCTGAGCATGGGTCAGCACCTGAAAACATCACCTCCTCCACCTGCTGCTCTGATAGGAGACTGACATCAAGACACACAACTGTGTCACAGCTTTTGCAAGCAGGTGCAGAAAAACTGCCCATAGAGGAAAACCCTGAACTTGGGGCATATGAAAACATTGTACTTCTACACGCTAATAACAATGCACTAAAATCCCCTGAACTGAAGCACCTTGATGAACAGTAAATCATTGTATTTTAACAGCTGTAAAAAAAGAAAAGTTATGAAAAGCTTAGTCTAAGTAGTTTTTAAGAGATGTAAAAATACAACACAGAAAAATCCCAACCCAATTCAAAATTACATTTTTTCCTTTACATCTTTATTTAACACTTATTTGGAAACTTCCAGAAGTTTAGACTCTAATATGAATTTAAGAACCACTTAATCACTTGGCTCCAGCTGAATATATCTTCATTAGGCAAATGTGTCTTATTTTGTTTTAATTAAAAAGACAGTTATTGTTCTTTGCCACTGTTATTTGAAACAATCCCTAGAATGGTCCCCAGTAAAGCAGTCATCCCAGCTATACACTCCTCGCGGAATGAACCCAGGAAGTTCAGACAGGGTTCCTTCTTTGATGTCCACTAAGTGTTTAATCTGATTCTATGATCATTTATTAAAAATCTCATACTGCCAGCAATAACATCTCACACCCAAATTAATGGCCACAGATAAAGCAAAAGGAACTTCTTGAAACCTTTATATTGTTCTCAGTAAAGACAATAATGTAGATGTGTTCAAGGCTGAGGAAGAGTTAATCCTCATAAGTCCTATTAAAATCAGTAGGCAAATCCCTAGGAGGAATTTGAAAATTTCAGCCCTGACATGTTATCTTGTTGCTCTCACCTAGGACAAATCACAGACCATGAGAGAAAGCTCACTGTCACAGACAGGCATTCTCACCAGCCAGGAGAACGCTGTTTCTTGGCACAATGATATAACTCAACATGCAAATTAAATATGGGTAATGTGCCACGGGATGAAGGCCCTGTAATAAACTGTCCAAGGAAGGAAACGCCTCCTGCTGTGTTTCCAGAGTACCATGTAATTTACAGTCACTGCTGTGATTCTGCATGAGAATATTAATGACCACATTTCTCAGCCAGAAATATTAAAATCATTATTACCATCTGAGGCTGTAGACTACAGGCTGGAAAGAAAGGGGGTTCACTGAAAAGAACATTATTTTCTAGCTAGGAAAAAGAAATTATTATTTTAATCCAGAATCTGCTTTACTACCCTAAAACTAAGAACAGAAATAGCTGCTTAAGTAAAGCGTAGCTAAACATGAGTTGAGTCCTAGGACTACATTTTTTTCTTCTGTTCAGTAAGGTAGTTCTTTCAGATCCCAACTGGCTTCTGGGAACCTTGGGCAACTTCATCAACTGACACAAGGAGAGTTTGTGTTTCTGTTCACACATTTCTCTCAGTAAAAAGACTATTACCTCACAATTCAGACCATCTTTACATTATCTGCTAGTGTGATAATGGCAACGAATTTGAGTGTGTTTTCAACAATAAAGTTCTGTGCCTGTACAGTGTCACTGTTGTGGAAGGTGACAAAAAGATGTGCCTTCTGTGTGTCACGCAGCAACTCCATGCTGCTGATTAACTTGGCCACACACTCCAGTGAAGTGAAGAAGGATAATTTACTTCAACATCTTAATTTCAGCTGTGACCACACAGTCATAAAATAGGAGAGCTAATCAGCCTGGCACAGCAGCAGACCTCCGCTCTGACGAAACTTTGCTATCTTGTTAAGTCAGTCACCAGCTACACCATCAGAATTCAACGTTCCCAACTACTTTAAAAAGAAAGGTGGTTTAATGAGGTCTCTGTATTTTATTATGGATGCCAACATACTCATGTGGTGACCTGGGAATCCAATAGGAAAAGGGAATTTTTGAGGTGATACCAACAAAAAACCAAAACAGAAATAAATGTTGCAAGTAAGAACTGAAACAGGGAAGTTTTATGAATATTTTCAACTGATATATCTACAAAAATCCACATCAGCCATACAAAATTGAAATGTGGGGACTATGCTACAATCTCAAAGGTGTTTTACATTAGGGTGTTAATTTCTGTACTCTGAGTATACCAGTAATGGACCAGACTGAGCCAAAAAATGTGGGTCTCTCCTATGACAAGACACTAACAACTAGTCAGAGAATTCTGACCCCATCGTAACCAGACATGAAAACAGGTATTTCTAGGAAAAGCTAGAAGAAGAGTGAACCTGGGGTCTTGTTTGACCAAGATGATAAGCTGTTCTGAGGAAGAAACTGGTGGAAACAGATGGCTGAGCAAAGCTCAGTGAACTGCCAAAGGCATGCATGACCAAAGGCAGTTTGTACAGCATGAATACAACATGTTCTACCCAAACCGTGGTGGTCAAAACTGTCCCACACAAAGATGATTTCCAGAATTTTTCTGGGATTTCCAGGATTGTAATAAGCCACAAGTAACAGAAGACACATATTCCAGACATCTAAAATCTTTGACAGAAGAGCAGATCACCCTGAGGGGCTGACAGCATCTTTACAAGAGACACCCAAGCCACAGGGGTAACTGGGAAAAGTTGAAGGGCTCATGTACACAGGTGGGCACAGACTCAAACTTTTTGCTGTCCACGCTCCATGTTGGCTGGATTTGGAGGAGTGGGGAATTTATGCAAATGCCAGAGTGTGGGTAGAGAAGGTGAGGCTGTCAGCCCTAATTCATATGGGTGTGCCCTCAGACACTCTGCTTGGTTCAACATTTTACGCTCTGACTGCAAAAAATGCATTAGAAAAACAGAGAATGCTGTGGTCATCTGTCTTTTAACTAAATATATGTTCATAAATCATTCAGCATTTGGAGATACTTGGTTCCTGATTCTTAAGCAGGTCAAAACCCATTGTAGCACTCTTGCAAGGGCAAAGGAACTTTTCTGTTGCTGATGGCACAATAAGGGCATAAAAAAGTGTGTGAGTACCAATAAGAACTGAGTCTGCATCTTTTTAAGGTCAGACTTGGTTCCTGACCTGTGGTGGAGCACTCATTTTTACTGTAGCAGTTAAAATACAGGAAAATGAATTTATACTAGGTGATGGTGGCTGTTCACAGCCATGCGCTCAAGCTTGGGTAAAGCTTCCCCAGGCAGAAGTACAGGACATGTATTGTGAGTCTGTCACTTCCAGGAGGCAAGGACACATCCAGGCAGAACTGTGAGCTGGGCTCTGCAGTAGGTCTGCACATGTGCAGAAGACATACACTGGGTTTCTGCATGGTCTGCAGACTTGTTGAAAGTATTTTGGTTTGGTTTGTTGCTGCAATTGCTTTTGCTCCAAACAGGAATCCTTGAAGTATGAAGTGCTCAAATTCTTGAGGAGGGGATGGGGACCAGAAAGAAAGACACAACTGAAGAACCTGAAGGCAGAGTTCCATTAGCCAAAGAGCACATCCGAGCATTAGTCTAAAAAGCTAACAGCCCAGATTGAGGGAGGGCAGAGGAGGAGGTTGGTTTTTTTTTCTCTGAACTAAATAACAGAGTAGAAATCCTCAGTGACTTGCAGAAAGCCCATCTGTTTCAATGCTAAAATCAAGATTTCCACCACTGATAGTGGCTGAGGGCAGGAACAGGACATAATGAGCAAGAAATGACAAAGTCTTTGAGAATTTTTACCTCAAGCTGGCAGCATTTTGAGGAGTCCTTTGTTGTTCTCATATGGCATAAGGTACTGAAAATCAAATATGTTTAAAAGAACTAAAATTCAGAAGAGTTCTACAGCTAAGGTTTATCATTCTTAATGTTCCTCTTTAAAGTGTCCCTGCAGTGCAGAAGGTGACTTTGTAAACACAGAGTTTCTGTGTGACATTCATTTTCCCTTCCACTTTCATGTCAGCTTTGCTGCATTTTACACAGCTACACTTCGAGGTAACCCTCAGCATGGCCATACCAGTGTGGCTTAAAACATCCAACCTGGAATTAATTTTTTTTCTCAGAAGTATTTTTACCTTCTTTAGACACCATTTCAATAGCCCAAGATAATTCATAATTCTATACCTAGCAATTCAACTTATTTATGTACAAAAGAGCAAGGATAGACTCCAAACAGTCAGCCAAACAGAGCAGAAGGCTAAAGAAATTCATCTGGAATAAATGCTTCAGGAAAAAGAAGTCTCATGTGGTAATGACATTAACCTGAACAGCCAAAGGGATATTTTGGCTAAGCCTCAGGATGTGAAATTTCATTTAGTTTTCACTCATCACTCTCATCACCTGTTTTTAAAGTCACATGTTTGCAGGGAGTTACCTAACTCCACATCTGGGCCCACAAATAGCTGGGATGAATGACAGAAGCACTTAACCCTGCCACATTTACAAAAGAACCCAGAGGGTTAGATACAATAAAAGCTGTAATGACAGAGTCTTAGCTGAAATATTCAAAAGTGAAGTCCTTAACGACCACCTTTATTTTCTGCAAGTGCAGAGCATTTGCCTTAAGTAAAGCAGGCTCTTCAGAGAGCATGAGTTGAGCAGTTGATATCACAGATGGTTTTTAACATGTTGGTCCATAGCCTGAAAAATGTGGTTTACATTTTTAAAACATGGCGGTAGCTAATGAACTTGTTTAAATATTAGGCAGAACAACAAACTTGGGTTGGAAAGCAAAGAAGAGGATATGACAGGATGCAGACACAGGAGGCCATTGTGGGAATGGACTACAAGCCAACTCATACGTTTTAGGACAAAAGTCAGTATTGCCTCAAACCAGAGCTTTCATTTAGCCCATTAAAAAGCTGCACAATGCTACAAATTTCACAGGTAGATCTAAAGCTGTGAGAAAGGGTGAACTTGCATCAGATTTAGGGGGTAACAGAATTTAATTTTCAGTCCTGGTCTCTCACAAACAAATACATGTACAGTAAATATATATGCACTGTTACATATTCACTTTTCACAACTTTGCCTTAAAGTAGGAGGATGCTTTAAAAAATGCATTAAGCTTGACAGCTGGAAAAAATTTAATAATAATAGGCCTGATCTAACATTTCAGAGTACAGAAGACTTTATATCAACTTAAGAGAGATATCGAACTTCCACCATGGAAGATCAAGACCATCAGTGCCAAGAAATGAAAAAGCTGGTAGACAAAAGCAGAGTGTGTTTGAAATGTTGCTAGAGTATTAAAATGTTAACTATCGTTGACTCACATGCA